ACTTTACTTAAATGCAAAATTAGTATCAATCTTCTCTTCTCACTCTCCAAAAGAAAGCAAATATGTTTTTCCAAAATGTACTGTTCCTTTAATGCATAAGTATAAAATTAACTTCAGCAAGAAGTGACTGTCCAAATACCCCATTTAAAACCTGTAACATAATTAACATATGGTGATATTTTAAAATACTGTTGCCGTATGAACGTTAATGCATGTAAATCGCTGGTGTGTCCTCTTAATGGCTTGACTTTTCGCACAATTTTACTCTAGGTACTTTTTGTCTACTTCTTATCTGGTGTGATTATTGTTACACTGTGGATCATACAATCATACAGGATGATGTTTACAACTTGTGTACTATGTACACAAGTACATAGTACAACAAGTACTATGTTGTGTGTTGTTGTATGTATTGCTATTTAAACCTTTGGAACTTGCATGTCCCCCATTTTTAATATCCTTTTTAATTGTTTTTAATATACATTTTACTGCTGTGTAATATTTATTATTGCTGTGTACTATTTATTATTGCTGTGTATTATTTATTGTTGTGATGGTTTTCATCACCATCACTTTCATTACCTTCACTTGCCACCTAGTCACTTTAACTTTCTACTGTTTTTGCGTGTTGCTATGTTATTTATAGTTGTGTATACAATAAAGTAATCTGAATCTGAATCTTACCCAGGTCCAGCCTCTGGCACAGTGAGCCCAGCCCCTGCAGTACAGCCAGCTGCAATTTGTAGGACAGGGTGTGTGTGTAGACAGGCCCTGCCTTGGCACTGATGGGAGCCTGCCGTGCCAGCGAGGAGCTCAACTTGGGCAGAATCTCTTTAGAAACCCTCCTCCTCAGGAAGTCACCACATGTTTCACCCAGCGTACACAGCACCTGGGACAGAGACTCAGCATGTAATGTACGTATGCATCAAGTTGACAACATGTAACAGAATGTCCCTGTAGTGCTTACATATGATAAATGACACTGCATTATCCCCTGGATGAGCCATAGTATTTACAAAAGCTGCCATATTGCTGATGGCCATAGCACAGTTTGCCAGGAGGAGAACTAAGTGACTAAATGACCATTTACAAATTTGTTATGTCTGATTTTGTCAGTTCATAAGGGAATAATATGAAAGAAAAGTGTAAAAATAGTCCAACTAAAGATAGATTTTGACAAGTAGACTAATTTACAGTGACATGTAGAATCAATAGACACATGTAGAGAAAGGATCACAAACAAGTGTGATCTTCACTCATCAGGGAACACGGTAGAAGGCCATTTTCATCCTCTGTAATTTTCTGAAACAGTTTTAAAAGCCAGGGGAAGACAATCCACAAACATTGTAATGATTTTCCTGTCTTGTCTTTTTAAACATCTTTTACAGAATTACAAAAATGAAACAGCCTGCCAAAAGTAACCACTGTAGCTATTTTATAATAAACTGACACTATATTTGTGCTCAAAACAATAACCTTTGATTGATTCAATATACTGTAGGTATGTTTCAATATTACATGCTTGCATGTAACGGATGTAATATAAAATGTCATTTTACTCAGAAATGTAGTCATCCCTGTTCAGTTGGCACACACAATAACATACAGCAATTTGATGTAATGAAACATGACTTTAAACACTTTTTGTGTACTTTTTCACAATATCAAACTGCAGGGGTTATTACAATTTTTCACCAGTGCACTAAATGAACACATCTCTCCTCAAAGATTATCAAGAAAAGGCTTGTTGACTTCATATTTCATATTTATTATTTTACGTACTCTGAAGGCTCTGAGGACTGCTAAAGGGTCATCAGCTGTGAGTCTCTGTAGGAGGGCGGGCCAGCAGCGATGAGCCATAGGCAGCAATTCATTTTCCTTCTCACTCAGTACACACACACATAGCTCCAGCACATCCAATACCTTAGGACAAAGAAATGCAGAACACCTATTGATTTATATTTTTTGTATATATAGAGTGAAACAACAAAATGTTTATGTGTACAGCTTTCGTGAGATGTAAAACAACCTCTGCAGGCCATATTAGAGGACCAAAGCTCCTGGTTAAAAATGTTTAAGAAATACTTGCTTTTCTAGAACTACAACCTAGCTCAGAGCTAGCCTGGGGTGGCTAACCCTTTATGACTAATATAATTCAGTCTTTTTTGTCTAACTCAAATTAGACTACTCTGACTGCAAAGCTATGACTCTTTAGCTATGATTCTCCATTGTATCTTCATGATGTTATCATATGTGATAGGGAGGTCTGTCACCCCAATTATTATTACGATAAAAAAAACCACACTCCCCTTCGAGCCACAGGCAGTACCTTGAGCCGGAGCATGAGACTGGGGTCGGACAGAAGATGAATGCAGCGCTCCATAACATCTTTAGTAATGCTAAGGTGGGAGGGAAGCTCTGCCTTCACATCAGGACCGCAGATATCTTCAACATCCTCACACTCCGTGGGAGGAGGGACTTCTGTTGAGACAATAATAGTCGGATGACATACAACTGATCGACTCAGCAAACACCCACTGTTGTTGTTGGCTCTTGTCTAATACTTTATTGTTATTCATACTGTATTTTCTGTCACAATGACCCAATCCCCCTGCTGATAACCTCTACAGCAATGTGAAACCTGAACTACAGTAAACTATAATTGCCTGTCTTAATACAGACACCACACTGTATTACCAAGGTCTTCAGTATCGTCCTCCTCTATTCCAATGCCCTCTGCCAGCTCTTTCTGTTTGCGGTGATCCAGCAGGAATTGTCGGATGTTAAAGACTTCCTTGTGAACGGTGGTCTGTTTGGGTCCGGCAGACTTGCTGGTCCTACCACAACTGGAGGGAAACCACCTCGCTAAAGGAAGAACCACAAGAACAGGTTAGGTCAGTGACACAGTGAGGTGTGTGACACAAAAGTGGTAATATGCAATATCTTTGTCTTTATTTTGTCTCCATCCTTGATGATTTTCTGCACTTTGTCTCAGGGATCACATATCATTCAAACACTCTTTCAGGACTGTGACATCTTTTTTTTTTTTACAAAAGAAGCAAAGCTAATTTAAACCATCATGGGATACTAAAACTCTTAATAAAGTCAATGATTTATCCATAAATGTTTTGAAATATACTAATTTTGTCCCTTCTCCTTTTCCACCCTCACCGTATGTGATAAATGAGTTGAAATCTCACCCAGTGCCTTCATCAGCGCATGCAACACGGAGCAGAAAAGAGCAGCTGTGTGGTCGTAGCTGAGATCCAGAGCCATCAGCACATCCTGAACGATGTCCCTGACCAGAGGCAGCAGGCTGCAGTCAGAGTGAGTTAACATCACTGTCAACACCCGCGGAGCCTGACCAACAAGACGGGATATGATGAAATACACGTTCAGGGTCCGCCAAACCCATGAAAACCAATTCACAGTATTCACCAGGGTGATCGGGCCCCATGACTTGGATTCGAGTCAAACTCGAGTAATGAATCTGATGACTTAAGTCTTGACTTGACAAAATCCGACTCAACTTCAATACCAATGACCTTTGACTTGGAATGAATTTGAAACTAATAAGTAAAACTTTCTGAAACTGTTCTTATTTATTCATCATACTAACTGTTCCTAACTGTTTGATTCTGGACTTTATAGTCAAAAGTTGAGACTTGTATCCAAAACAAACACACTTGAGTACACCACAGATGTTGTATTTTATTGTATAAACTGCTACTGCTATTAGATTCAATGTTTATTGTTAGCACCTATTATGCCACTTTATTCATTTGTAGGGCTGAAATGTTTAGTCGATAATCCACATAAAATTAAAAGCCAAGAATTCTGATTGTTGAGTCGTTGTTTAGGCCATGTATCAAAATGGAAAACAAAGATTTCTTTTGTTTTCTTGTATTTTGCACTTCTGGTCAGACAAAACAAGCAATCTGAGGGAGTCACCTCACGCTATTGTGTATTATAACAACATGTCAAACTGTGTGAGTTTTACCTGTGGATGCTGGCTGAGCCTCTGCAGGTTAACTGATATGTCATTGAGCAGGTAGTCTGAGTTCTCATTGATCAGCTCCTTCAGGGAGGCGTAGCCACAGGCTTTACTGATGTCCCACATGGAGGCCAGCGCTGCCTGGCTGACAAGCAGTGTCTCCTCCCCGGCTTTCTCCAGTACGGGATACAGCGATGTCATCAATAAGGGACGAAAATCACCCCCCAAGGCCTCGGCAAAGCAGGCGATGCCCTCAAGTTGGATACACAGCTGCCAGATGTTGCTATTGAGCTGGTGGATTGTGGAGGTTGACGATGAGGGAGACGCGGAGGCAAAAGAAGAGGGAATCACTTGAAGAGAGTCTGCAATAGTGTTGCTGAGATGACTGTTTGATATGGAGAGGAGTTTCGATGGGCTGAGCAGCTACAAGAAGACAAAAGACAAATGTTATTATCATGCACCAAACCGTTTTCCTCCGACAATTCAGTGGTGTTTTATTCATTAAAAGTACAGTAATTGTAAGGTGAGGGAAGTAGCGAGGAAAATATTTTACCATTAAGGGAGGACATAACAACAGTCTCTACAGAGGCCAAACTTCTTATTTGGTGGGGACAAATTTTAGCTCGCAAATTAAGACGGAGCTGCCAGTGGGTTCTGAGTGCCTGTTAGCTTGATAATCCAGCCTTGAAAGTTTAGAGCTGTTACTTGAAGCCCTGGAGGAGTTTCCCCCTCTGCTCAGTCTGTTCAGGCATAAGAGCGCACAGTGATCAGTCCAAGGCCATATTCTGAGCAAAGTATGGTTATCTTTCTCAGTACAGCATGGAGTGCTTTGTTTGGAGTGAAGTGATCTGACCAGGATCAAATTTAAATGCCGACAGAGTTGTGCAATATGTGTTTAGCGTGGGAGTCCAATATTACACTTGACTTGATTAGAAAATGTTCACAGAATACAAAATGAGATGTACAATTTTGAAAATCAAAGTATCACTTCTTCATTCAGAATATCAATCCATGAAGAGTGGGGCCATCTGTTACACATGATGATCATTCCCAGAGAGTTTGCTAATCAGAAAATGTAGCTGACGTTGATGCAATATTCATGGACCATAAAACAATCCACTGCCAAATCAAATTTGAAAATATCAAATGACATTAAGGAGCTGTTTTCCCAATTTGGGAAATGCACTTATTTGCTTTCTTGAAGACAGCTCGATGAGCTGATTTACACCACTCTCATGTCTGTACGTTCAATATCAAGCTAAAGCCAGCAGACAGTTACAGACTCCAGGAAGTCACTAGCATTGCCAAGAAATAGTTCTAGTCTGTAACTACGTGTCAATTACACATTTTCATATTCACATTTTGATTTTTGCATTGATCAAGCAAACCAGATACAAAGTGTTAACTAGTGAGCTGTAGAGGTGGTGGTAGGTGGATTTTGGTACTTTTGGACAGAGCCAGGCTAGCTGTTTTCACCTGCTATCAGTCTTGATGCTAGGCTAAGCTAATCACTAGCTAGCTGTAGCTTCATACTTAGTGCAGACATGAGAGTGGTATCACATAACTTCTCATCTAGAAAGATGAAAGTGAATAAGCATATTTTAAAAATGTTAAACTATAATAACTACTACCATTACAACTATATTAAATATGCCATTAACTTGTTGAAAAATCATAAGTTATGGTTTTGCCAGGTGACCAAACCAGTGTTCAACTATAACAAACTGATTCAGAACAATATATATAAGATGCACTGCTGAAACTATCCGCACCTGCTGGTCCTGTCTGTCTCTCTCCGTCTCCTCACTGACAGTAATCAAGTGCCAGTTCTTCAGACTGGTGTATTCCTCCATGACTGACACCACTGCCACCTTAAGGTCTTCCTGGGTGGCAGAGTATCCCTGAACGTGACACTCCAAACCCTGGGCCTCTGTTGCCACGGCTATGCCTGCGGCGCCCCTGACAATCTCATTCAGCACCATGGCAGCCTGCTTTCTGTATGCTGATGACTGTTGGTACAGATCAAGGAAGTGATCTGTCAGCAGGTAAATATTGCCATAGTAACCTAAAGATAGGAATAGCAAAAGTTACTTGTTATATTTTTGGTAGGAGAGCTGTCAAACAAAAAGTCAAATGTGTATAGACACAGAATGTATTTTTCTTTCTTTTCTTTGTATGTATTTCTTTAATACATTATGTATTAGTATATGCTTTTAGAATTTGACATTAGTCCAATTTCTCTATTTATAACTTATATATATTCCTTTTAAATAAAACTGACACAGACATCAAGTACTCTCATGTATGCAGAAGGATAAGAAACGTACAGTAGATCATTCTGATACAGCCTATCCCTTAAGTTCATATCAAACAGCACTCATACCTAATGTTCGACAGATCTCCATGAGCACAGATAGGATCTTCTCGTCTGTGAAGTAGAGAAAATGCTTCCTCTGTATGTGAGCCGTGTGGGAATCATGAGAGTCTGCGTTTGTCTCTATGATAGCAGCGTAACTCCTTTCCTCCACAATGCGAACATCCATCACATCCAGCTCCAGCACCTGTAAAGGCATACAGAGGTAGTAGTTGTTATTTTAACAGTTTGTGATTTAAAATAAACTGTGAAGTAATTATTATTATTATTACAATTAGATTATAAAGAATAAATTTGAAATGTATACAACATTATATTCAAAGTGTGTTTTGTGCATGCAAATTATTTTTGGTGCAGTTTTAATATGAAATTCTGCATTTTTACTTATTTTTAATAATTTTTCATTACTCATTTTTATTAATCTATTCTGCTGTCTTCATGAATAATATTTGGCCTAATCAATAAAAATATCCACCCTAAGGTTTATTATTTGTATGCACTCTGCATCCGGATTGGTTAAAAAAGCCACTAAAATATTTCTAAAAAATTACTTAATTTGAAATCATGATCAATCATGAAGCCCTATAATCTCTATAATATTAAGTATAATTTGATACAATGGCAGGTAACATTACCTGCATCAAGGCTTTGGAAATCCTCTGAAGATGTGCAGCTGAGTTTAGTACCACAGAGACCAGCGGCCCCAGGACTTTTAAATATCCCAGAAACACATTGAGTACAAACAGCTTCTTCTGGTCATCAGAGGTCCTCATCAGTCTGGGCAGGGAGGTGGTCAAAGAGTGGAGATTCTCTGAAAGCACGTCAGTGAAGGTTTGAGCACTGCTGCTGCTTTTACTGTTGCTGCTACCGCTCTGATTCCTCTGTGATACCTCCCTGAGAGCGGCCTCACACCTAGAGGAGAGAACAGGAGAGGAGAGAAGTTTAAACATCTTGTTATCAAGTAGTCTGGGTTTAGTCTTTTTCCTGCCCAAAATGTCAATCGTATCGCACCTCTTTCTGACTCTGGGCTCCTCATCATTGACTGCTCCCACCAGTGCTTCCAGTAGCGGCCCCACACACTCTCCCAGTGACTGGCTACACCTGGCCAGCAGGTGGTCATCCAGCTCCACCATCTCTAGTCTAACCCTCCAGTGCTGGTGAGCCGAAGTGCAGGAGATGATCTTCTTCAGGAGCACAGACAGTTTCCCTGCTGTGCTCTTCACCCAGTCTTGTGTCCGACGGACCACCAGCTGTCCAATTCTCCCCAGGTCTGGTGATGGCGTCTTCCCGGGGTCACTGGCCTGAAGCTGGGCGTCTTCCATGACAAGCCCCACAGTCCTGGACCAAACCTGAGTGATAATTAAAAGTAAAAACAAGATAATTCTTTGGCATAAACAAATCACAGGATTACATTTTTACAAGGAAATAATCAATCAGTTTGGTCCAAACATGGTTAGACCTGCTCTTTAATATGTGGTTAGTTGGCCATCAGCTTCCACAACCGACCTGTTATCCTACCATGATATGATATATGTACAAGTCTGGATACAATATATACTGTATACTAATCTGTAGACTTTAAATTTGACATATTTAATGTTGTTCAAACAAATTAAACTTAATGAGTAAACACACAAAGGTTTAAGTCAACTGATAAAAGAAGGCTTTCTGTAAACATACTGTATGTCAAGAATTACAACTAGTAACATGGACACTGCATTTCACCCTAATTGTTGCATCAGTGTGGAAAAGCCTGCACATTTAGCACATTTAGACTATCACGGGACACTCACTTTTCTACAGTTGTATTATTATATAATATTCAGGATATTTATAATATATAATGATCAACAGAAAAAGAAAAAAAAAAGAAAAAACTTTAATTGAAACTTCAGTCCAAAAATTATTTTAAAGGTTCTTATTAAACTAAATCTTCAAATTTGCTGCTTTTCATTGTTAATTTAATATTTAAAGATTTGGACTGTAGGTTTGAACAAAGGAGTCATTTGAAGATGCATTTTTCACTATTTTCTGACATTGCATAGTGTAAAACAATAAGGCAAATAATCAACTAGTGATTATTTTCATTATCGGTTCAACTGCCGATTATCTACTAGATTCATCATTTGGTCTATAAAACATGAAGTGAAAAGTGAAAAATGTCCATCACAACTGTCTAAACTCAAGGTGATACCATCAAATGTCTTGTTTTGTCCAACAGTCAAAATCACAAACACATTCAGTTTACTGAAATGTAAGGAGAAGCAGCAGATATTCATATTTAAGAAGCTGGAATCATAAACTGTTTGACATTTTTGCATGAAAACTGACTTACTTTTGAATATTAAAACTTAATAATTGATTAAATGCAGATTAATTTTCTGACAATCGACTAAATGTTGCAGCTCTAAAAATAAATTGTAGCTTTAATAATATATAATCTAAATTATACTTGTAACACACTTATTTGTAGTAAAATATCCATTTATATACACAGTTAAATACTGGACTGAATACAGATTAAAAGCTGAGAAACATCAGCAATTACACAATTAATATGTTATAACATATTATGCAGCAGTTAAAATATTTAAGTATGACTGTACTGTAATGTACTGTACTGCATCATTACACCAACAAAATGAACACAGAAATACGGTACCTTGATGGCCCTGACTGTGACTGCATGGCCTTGTCTCAAATCTCCTGTAATGATCCGTGCGACAGCAGTAGTGATCCCGGGTAAGAATGAAGCCATGGTGCTGCCTATAGCACATCTCTCCTCTGAGGATGGGACTATGTGCTCCTGAGTGCAGTCACACTGCAGAGTCAAAGCCTGGAGGCACTTCAACGCTGCTGCCTGTATACCTCGAGATTTTGTTTTCTCTCCTAAAGCCAGCAGTAGTGATATGGCAGCTCCCAGTCCAGGCAGCATAATGGGTTCAAAGAGTTTGAAGACTATATCACCATAAGCAGCATGAAGCAGTGCATCCAGGCACCTCAGCACAGCCGATTTCAGCTCCTCCGATGTATCTGCAGGTTTCCCAGGATCGGTTGGTGAGCACAGGCAGAGGCAAAGCTCTGAGAAGAGGCCTTGGAGGGTCTCCCAGCTCTGGACACAAGTGTTCTCCAGGACCTGGCTCATGGCCTCAGCCACAGCCTGCACCAGTTTGTCCTTCTTGGGCCCAGGGACTTTAAGGACGAAGCGAAGAGGGAAGAGGACGTACTCTTGGAGCTGCTGCAATGTGGCATCGTTGACTTCTTTCAGCTGGGCGCTCAGTGTCTCCACATTGGTCACAGTGGGCTCCTTGGTGAGTAGGACACAGGCCGGGCGCAGGTAGGCAAACGCAATCTTTGGATCACTGATCTGAGCCATGGTCGGAGACATGACAGCAGCGGTCACTTTAATGTGGGGGTGCAGAAAGAGAAATGGGAGAATAAGACAAAGAACGAGCATTGTAGGGAGAAACTGAAAGTAATTTATTCTTAGAGCTAAAATAATTTACATTCTGTGTTTGAGATTAGGGGTCCATTATAATTTACTAAACTGCATGTGGGGTGGTCATGATGAGACTTGCTCTGACATTGGATTTAGGTTTGTTGTACCAACTAGTATTAGGGTTAGCAACTTAGCTACTGTATGTGAAATGCTGTTTTTAGTACTTATGTCCCTATTATGAACCAATTGCCCACTGTGACAAGGTCCTAACTTTATTCAAGTTAAAAAACCGATATATACCAACATTATGTCTATACAGTAACAACAGAGCCTCCAGCATCATGTTAGCTGACAGCATCCAGCATGCAGCTGAAGCCGAGCTGTGGTACTGGCGTCAAGCAACAGGTAAAGTTAGCCTACCTTCACATTAGTAGTAATAAGTGGAGCCGCTGCGGGAAGCAATGAGCCCATAGAGGAGCTTTAAATGTTCCTATGAAACTTAGAATAACAGCACACACTGATGTTGTTACTGAACTCTGGCTACAGGAGACGTCATGATTCTGCGTCAAGGACGCACGTGTTTTACGTAAACCAAAAGATTTCCGGGTTGTGGAGACTTCAAAATAAAAAAAACGTTTTACAGTGAAAAAGAAAGCGCAATAAAAACGTACAATAAACAATGCTTTCCTCTTACAAGCGTGTACATTTTGTCGTATCAATTAAGCATCATCGAGTTGAATTGAATAATAGATCACTAGTTTAGCAGATACTGGTTTAATAACTTACTAGCAAGATGCATTTCTAACATTGTACTGACAGTAGTTAGCAGTCAAAACTATTCAGTGTCTGGAGACATTTAACCTGGACACATACACAAGACATTTGTATTTGTGTTGTCTAACTACAAATCTACTTTTCATGGTTGTTGTTTTTCTTTACTTTATTTTACGTTAATATAGCTTTGGCAACGTAAACGTGTTTCCCATGGCAATAAAGCTTGTTTTATTTTGAAAGAAATGCACAACTTCACCTTCCACCCACTTCAGCTAGCTTGATACTGAACCGGTTCATGTTGTGACTGTACTACTGTCCCAATATGTACATTTAGCTATTTGAATTACATGTTTTCTTAACATAGCACATCTTTTCATGGCACATGTCCCTTTTACCGTCGGTGCAGTGGAAGTCAGACTGCTTCCCTAATTACGAAGGTAAAGCTAGCGTCTTTAAAACCAGTTGTTAAAGTTAGCTTGAAAACGGCTAACATTCAGCTAAAACTAGCTCTAATATTAGCTGGGTTTCGAGTCATATGTAACCTAAGTTAGGTTAAACTCTGTGAAAATATGTGGCAGTTTGTCAGGTTTTTACCACTAAAGTATGACTTAAAAATCCTACAGGAGAGGACCAATTGTACTCTCGTGTGAAGAGAAAGAAGATTGGCTCTTTGCAGGAGTCCATATGTCTCCTCTATCAGTCCATCTACTCATTCTGCTGAGATCTGTTTACTTGATTCCACTTTAAATCTTATTTGTCCTCAGGTGTTTTGGGGGCTTGATGCTGTCCATCCCTGTCCTGCCCCGTGCCAAGTGTCAGTATGGATGAAGAAACCCTTGAGGCAGCCATCTCTACCTATGGTGCCCAGTTGCAGCAGGTGGAGACAGCCCTGTCAGCTGGCCTGGACCCCTCCCAACAGTCAGACCTGCTAAAACTGAAAGAGGACCTTATTCAGCTGATAGAGCTCACCGAGTCCAGCCTGGTGTCTGTCAAAAAGAGTCGTCTTCTGGCCAGCCTCGAGGACATCAATGGACTGCAGTCGAGCACCTCAGAGGCAGAAGCTGACACAAACAGTGCAAATGAGAGTTTGGGTGCTGAGTTTGCTGCCTTCTACTCTGAACTCGGGGAGTCTTCGGGTAGTAGTTCTGATACTAGAGAGAGGGACAAGGAGGGGGAAGGTGGGCTAGAGGATGATGATGAAGAGGAGGAGGCAGAGGAAGAAGAAGAAGAAGAAGATGCACTCAGTGGCACCAAAGTAAGAGCACCCTACCGGACTAAATGGGGGACCCTGGAGTATCACAATGCCATGGTGGTGGGGGCAGAACCACCAGACGGAGAAGAGGCACAAGTACGAGTGCTCTATGTGTTACCCACCCAGAAGTCTATGAAACCCTGTCCATTCTACCTAGAGGACAAATGCCGCTTCCCAGACAATTGCAGGTAAAATGCCACTGTTTTCTGGTTGTGCTGCAAATGGTTGCCTGCCTTCTTTGTCATAGCAGATATCATCCAGCAATATAATATATTTCATTGGCAAAAAGACATATTTTATCTAATAATTTGTCATCCTATCGATCTGCTAATTCTGAAGAACTCCAAATCCAGCTGACCGGGGAGAGGTTTGTTGTTCCATGACTGACTAAATGCTGTTTCTGAGGACATTCGATCTGACAGCGATCAATTACTATGAATGTGTTTTCTAGTACAGTATGAGCTTCAATGAGCCACATTAGTTGAACCTCTTGATTATTGTATGTATTATCAATTTGGATCTCAGTTCTGTCTACATACAGTATTTCCTTTTTCCCTTTTATTGAAGGTTTTCCCACGGCGAAGTGGTTTATGTGTCGGAGCTCAGACAGTTCCTTGAGTTTGATCTCAGTAATCTTGAAGAAGGATCGTCCTGCTTGGCTCGACACGAGGACGGCATCTGGTACCCTGCCAAAATCAAAGGTATTCTGTTGACGGACAGTTTTGACAACGCTGATAGATGAATTCACACTAAAGTTGATTTAAACTTAAGTTGTGTCACCTTGTCAAAAAATGTTACACAGACATTTTCTGAAACTGTTCAGCAAGCAGTCTGAATAGAGTCGCACAATGTAACAAAAACAACAAAGACAAAGGTGCTCCCAGTTTGAACGTTTTGCTCACTCAGATGTTTTCTCTCAATATAGACATAGACAGTGGTTTCTACACTGTTAAGTTTGACTCAGTGCTGCTGAAAGATGTCGTGGTCGAGGCTGACGGTGTTATCCCGCCTTTGAGAGACGACGACCCGCTCTCCTCTGATTCTGACCTAGAGGACACTCTAGATGGAGATGATCTGGCCTATGCAAAAGGTGAGCATGGATATGTGTTGCAAGTTGAAAATTTGAATATAACACAAAGTTGTTTGATGCCATTCTCCCTTATTCAAGATTCAAGATTCAAGA